GGGGGGAGGGGGAAGTTTAGCATATCAAAACACAGTTCTCTCTTTCTACTCCCAACAGCCCATCAGAACTGGTGGTTTACCTTGAAAGCTGGATCAGGAATCAGCTTGTAGAAATCGTCCACAGGAGAACTAACATCTACCAGGACAGCCCACTGTTCTTTAGGGGGCTCAGCAGCAGGGGTAGGAGCAGCCTGTGGGGCTGATTTGGGGATGGGTGTCACCTCCTGAGAACAAGGCAGACAGGCCAAGGATGGGTGAAAGCAGCTAATAAAAGAATATGGAATCCTACCAAGCTGTTTTCCAAAGCTAACACAACAGTTCTAAATCACGCAGGCTTATAGCTACCTTCAGAATACAGAAACATTTAAAGGCGTTCTCTTTGCTTCTACCCATCAAAAAGCTTCCAAGCCACAGTTGATACAGCTAGCTTGTTTCAAAACAAACCAGAGTCACGATCAGTTACAGTTCAAGGTATGGGCCACAGACTAAATTCCAGGGAGAATAAAATCACCTCAATAAAATAATCTCCCCACAACTGAGAGGCTGGGCAGAGGAGGAGTAAGGGAAGGCACCTTCTCTTCATGATAGCCATGGTTTATCATGATATTCTAATGCAGCCTTGGAAGCAAATATCCAACCATTGGCTACAATAGTAGCAATTCACTTCCCAGCAGCACCTCATTTCTTAGCCACCCCAGTCCAGGAAAGCCACTTGGTCCCAACACCCGTCATCCCTGTTTCACCTTTCCCATTTCTCTAGAGCTTTCCAGATGTTGCTGGACCAAAGCAGGAAGATGCTGGGAGCTGCAGGTCACCTATATCTGAGCACCAGTTTCTCTATTCCAATTCTATAGCTTGATGTACCCTGCCTTTTGCTCTTTCTTTCTTCTGATGTTGGGCTCCTACATTTCATATCACCATACTCGCATGAAAACAAACCTGTATGCAGACACATTCCTACCTTAAGGACCAGTTCCTCCAAGCTGTTCACCCTCTGCAATGGTGCTGGTTCTGCTGGGGGGATCTCTTCTTCCTTTGCTCCCTTACTCTTCCCTTTCTTCCTCCTCTTCTCCATTTCCTCAGTCTTCTCTTTGCCTTCTTCATCACTGGCGGCCTCCAGTTCAAAGGTGTCCAGAGCCCCCAGCAAATTGGTCAAGTTCAGCAATCCTGGGGAGGTCATGATCTCTGAAGAGGCAGAAGGAGAAAAGCCTGAACCCTTTATTGAAGAAATCTAGAAGGAGAAACCTTTAGGGCTTTTTCAGGTAAGTCCTGCTTATAAATTCTAGGAAAGACAGTTGCTTTAATGCTGACACACCCTTTATGAGCTGCCTGGATTCTTCCAGCTAAAGAGCCCCCAATATTTTTTGGTTGGTGGTCACACTTGTAATAATGCTGTAAAAGGAGGTTATAAACATGGATGTTCTGACCTGATCAGAAATGCTCTGTGCTTGAAACAGAACAGTCCAACAGTGAAATGAAGACCAGGCCAGATGGTTTCAAGGCCAGAACACTTTTGGCAAAAACCTTACAACCTTGAGATGATTTGCACTCCCTTAATTGTAGCAGCCATCATTTTGATTTTACTATTTGACACTTTGATTTTGCTATACCTTGTTTGGCAAACTCCACCCCTTTCTTCCATCCAGGTGGCACTGTCAGCAAATCTGAGAGGGAAACAGAAAAGCATGAAGCAGCTGCCAAGATTACACCATGTCTTCAACGTTAAGCTTGCAGGCAAGGGCAATCTAGTTTATTACTGGATATATCTAAGCCAGTGTTTCCCAACCTTAGCAATTTCCAGATGTGTAAACCTCAAATCCCAGAATTCCAGAGCCAGCATACCCATTGATGAGAATTCTGGGAAGTGAAGTCCGCACACCTGGACGTTGCCAAGGTTGCAAAACACTGACCTAAGCCGTTCCAGGAATCTTTTCAGATGGATTAAAATGCTATCAATACATCTACCATGAAACACAGTCTATTCAGTATCTATTTTCTTTTGCACATTCGCTTTACCACAGTGATTTTAAGTGCTAGCAAAGGGCCTCTGGCTAGTTATTTCACTTCTATTTCCATTTGACTCTTGTCCAGATCATTCTTTGTTAATGGAATCAGAATGTGCCCAGGTAACATAGATCAGAGATAACCCCACGGCACAGTTCTTCTGCTCCAAATCCCGCTTTCCTATCTTCTCTATCCCTGTGCATCATAAATGGAATAAACTACATTTTGTGAACCTTGTCAAACAGAGGGCAGATGGCATTAAAAACTAGAATGGTTGGGGTTTAAACAAAGGCATATGAGTAGAGCCACTGGCTGGAATATGCTCACGTTACCTTTCTCAAAATCAATGTCCTCTTCCTTATCTTCCTGCGCCTTAATCAGTTCCAGGCTAGGCTCATCTATCCCACCTGGAGAGATTGTGTTAAAAGAGCAGATTATTAGTGGTGAGGGGCTTGGTTGCCCCTAGGGCAAAATCCTGCAAAAAGAAAACACGTATTCTGTAACCCAATTAGACACATGAGAAGAATACTAAGGCCAACTAATTGCAAAAACAATATAAAAAGAAGCGATCTACAACCCATAAAAAACTTCTAAGGCCCCCAACAGTGAACCAAACACTGTTCCTTGATTTCAGTTTGTTCCTGTCCATGGCTCTGCCTTCGGAGTTATAAATTGGTGCCTCAGAGAGCAGAAACAGGAGACCCGCACCTGGCCAGAAGGGATAATTGGTGGCACTGCCTCGCAGAGACTCGGATGGAGGACCAGGCGCTCGCTGGAAGGAAAGAGAATTCTTGGCTGATAATCCCATGTTGTCCACAAGTGCCTAGAATTGAAGTCATAAGAGGGAGAGCTTTATCTCTCTTTCACACATGCGCACGCAGAGAACACTACTTTCTTCTGATAGCTGACATTCTTACTATTAACACAGTGGGGAGGTATTTTCTACACATGCCTGGACTACAACTTCCATCTACTTCAGTTAGCATGACTAATGGCCAGGCATCCTGGGTGCTGTACTCCAAAACATTTGGCAGGCAGCAGATTGCCTCTTGGGTGGACTGATGGTTCAAGGCTGCAGAGATGCAATAAGATTTCTCCCAGTTGGCATAGCTAGCTCTGGATTACAGAACTGTATTGGTCAATGAGCCCACACAATACAGACAGGCTACCTCGTCGTGAGTCTTCCTAAGGTGGCACCACTGAAATCCAATGGCAGATAGCCCACCAGAAGCAGTTTGTTTAAAATCCCAGCCTCACCCTTCCAGGGACATAACAACACTATGGTGCTACTTATTGCTGTTCTCAGCCACCCCCCCATCTTTTTTATTTAAATGTGTTCCCTAGCTGTTCACCCTTTTCCCTAGAACTCATTACTGAAAGGGTTGTTCGGGGCTGCAGGGGAAGAAAGCATATCTCACCTCTTTAAAACCCAGCAGCTCCCCCGTGGTAGGATTGCGCTCAGCCTGGAGGGTGGAGTGCACAGGCGTGACCTCCAGTGCAAAGAGTGACTGGATGTTTTTCTCTCGGGGCCAGAACCTGACTCGGGAGAAGAGGTGGAGTTAAACTATTTCAGCTCCCATGCCCCTCCCTCTGCGGCAGCTGATCCCCCTACCCACCCCACCCAGAGCTTTTCTCACTCCTACTCCAACCTGCCAGTGACCATCCCAGCCACTGGGAACTCTTTAAAACCCAGCAGCTCCCTGTGACAAATGTGATATACAAATAAATAACGAGCGGGGCTGTGACAAATTTGATATACAAATAAACGAGATGGGCGGTGACAAATTTGATAAATAAACTCACCTGTGAGATCTTTCAAAGTCATGGATGGGAAGCCATTCTGGGCTACTGAGGTAATGCTGCTCCAATTCCGAGGCCAGATCCTCAGCATAAGGGGGCAGCCCATGTGGCAACTGGGGAGGTGGGCAAAAGTGAGGGAAGATGTATCATTTCTTATTAACTACATCCATAAAACGTATTTGCTGCAGTCAGAAGCTAGGCAGGGCTGGGAATAGTTAGTCCTTGGATAAGAGACTACCAGGGACTGCCAGAGCTGTAGGATATGCTGGGAGGATGAAAAACATTCATGGCAAATCACTTCTGTACTGTTGCCAAGGAAACACTGTTAGATTTATTTGTCAGAATAACAGATGTTATTCTGACAAATAAATCTACAGGAGCTCAAGGCAGCATACACTGCACACCTTCTTCCTAATTCTTCCCACATCTGCTCTGTGAGGTAGGTTGGGCTGAGGGGAATGACTTGACCCAAAGTTCCCCAGGGAGCCTCCATGGCTCAGGGTGGACTAGAACCTGGGCCTCTCCACTCGTAGTCCAGCACGTTTTCCACTACTTCACACTGGCTCTCAGCCCTAGAGAGAGGGACTGGCCCAAAATCCCGCAGGAAGTTTCTGTGGCTGACACGGGACTAGAATCTGAGTCTCCCCAAGCTTGATTCAAAGCCATCTTTATCCTTTTGATCCTTACTTGCCAAGAAGACTATTATTTTAAACTGCCGTTGGCTGGGCTGACTCACGCTAAGCCAAAACCTACAGATTACCAACCACAGTGGCTGAGTCTGCACAACCTGCTAGGTCAAAACCCGACAAACTACACCGTGGTTTTGCCTCTCCTTTCTGGACAGGAAGGGCTACTGTACTTACCGTGGTCAACGGGAATCCCTCTTTGGTGGGTCCCTCTTGGGTGATGAGCTCAAAACGACCAGCACATCCAACCTCCAGAATGGAGAGAGGCAACTCTAAAGGTCCCCGGGGAGGGAGGACTTGAAGGAGAGACAATGAGGCAAAGATATGTTGAAACAATTGATCACCACCCTTCAGCCATAACTGCGCTCCTGTTGATGCTGCTTTAGAATAATAGAACTCACAGACGGAGGGATCCACAGGCGGGGATCAAAATCTGAAAGCTGGCAAGGTCATGAATTCAGGCCACGATCATGTGGACTTTGTAGAGCTGCCCAGATTTCTACCTGCCGTGCACAAGGCTTTGGGCCAAAGTTCTGGGACTCCCGTTCTGTCCTCCTTATTTAGTGCTGTTTCTTCCTGCTTTATCGATTTGTTATTGTTTCACCTCTGGCAAGATTTCTTACCCGTTTTGAATTGAAAGGGGATCCTCAATCAGCTTTCTGCAGGCAGGTAGGTTGGACTACGACCCCCATAATTCCAAGCCACTGCAAGTGCAGGCTGGGGAGTATGGGGGTTGCAGTCCCCTAGCTCTGGAGGACAATTGGGTGGGAAAGGCTCTCTTAAGCATTTTAAACGGATTTTAGGAAAATGATAAGCAATTAGGACAGGAGGTGTAAAAAGGCTCCGTTATGTTAGTTAAGACAGTCAGACGCAGGAGGGTCTCTGCCCCGTCCTCACCTATCCTCTCCAGCTCCATCTCAGCTGCCACGGTTCGCCCGTGGGCTGACCCGGAAGCTCTCCCTCCGGGCTGTCATCGTGAGGGCGGAACCTTCCCTCGCATCAAAAGGAAGGGCAGTTGAAGGCGCGCCCGTACAAGTTGCCGTAATCCCTGTTTCTCAGGCTGACGGTAAACACTGTTTGCCACACTTCAGCAACCGGAAGTGAAATGGGATTGGTCAATCGAACGAAGGGCGGAAGCCTGGTTGGGAGAAAATGGATTTCGATTCGAACGAGGGACGGATTGGCTAACGAAGCAACAGCAGCTGTCTAATGCCAGGGCGGTATGCAAATTAAAAGTGCTTCATTACCCGACTGTTCCGCCACACCCCAAAGCCAGCCAATGAGCAGTTGGGTATTCAAATACTGTAAAAAAAACTGTTTGGTTTCGGATCTTCCCGTGCTTCGAACGTCATCGTTGTATATGGTCCAGCCAATGACAGC